GGGAATGGGACGGGAGGGGCTGGGGAAAGCGAGTGGGAGCTCACTGGGGTAATGGGGGGGGGGGGGGTAGTCTCTGGAGCTCCGGGAAGGGATGGTGTAGTGAGTAGAGCAGGGGTCTGAGAGCAGCAAGGGGCAGCGTAGTCTGACCCTGAACCCTGACTCTCCCTTGCCCTAGGTCCCACCTGTCACGGAATTGCTCCGTCTTTCAGCTCTTCTTCCTCGCGCTGCTCCTGGGCTTCGCCTCACTGCTGTGGCTGCAGCTGAGCTGCTCTGGTGAGGGGGCCCGTCAGGGCCGTGGGGTAGCAGCCCCTGATCCGTTGAAGCCTTGCCCCTGGGAGTCCCGAGCCTCATGGGCTGAGGACCCATCGTGGGGCCCACACCGCCTGGCACTGCTGATCCCATTCCGGGAGCGCTTCGAGGAGCTGCTGGCCTTCGTACCCCACATGCATCGCTTCCTAAGCAGGAAGAGGATCCGCCACCACATCTTTGTGCTCAACCAGGTGGATCATTACAGGTATGGTCCTGTGCCAGCCACACAGCTGTGCCCTGCCCCACGTCCCTGTGCCAGGCTTGGAGCAGCCACACCCCAGGGCATTCTTTGTGCCACCACGGAGCCAGGACTCCTGGGGTCTAGACTTCCTCTGAGACCCCAGCAAGTCACTAAGCACCCATCTCCCAAATTGCCTAACTATAAAATGGGGATCACATGCTTCTCTCCTGATGGGAGAGAGTGACCTTCAGGGCTTAGCAAGCTCTGTATCTGTGGGCGTGGATGGAGAGAGGCACAGCTCAGTTTTGCCATGTGAACCCAAATGATGTGTCTGTGCAGGGCTCTAGGCATCTGTTTAGCCTCCACTCCACTTTCCCAAAGGGCTTGCCTTAGAACAGTCTCATTGCTTTAGCCCTGTGCTGGCTACAGTAGCCAGGCACCCTGCCCCTCATGGCTAGGCTGCGTGTATTCTGTGTCCTCTGTGTGGGTCTGGTTCAGTGCTGAGTTGCTGAACCTGGGATCCCAGCTGTGAAGCCCAGAGACGCTCAATGCAGAGGGTAACAGTCACAGCCTGTCTGAGAGGCAAGTGAGCCACCCACTGCGTCCAAGGGAGGCCTGATGTTCCTGCGGCTGAGGTAAGATTTTCCTGGGTTTTGAGCAGGTTTAACAGAGCATCTCTGATCAACGTTGGCTTCCTGGAGAGTGGTAATGACACCGATTACATCGCCATGCACGACGTCGACCTGCTGCCACGCAACGAGGAGCTGGACTACGGCTTCCCGGAGGCAGGGCCCTTCCACGTGGCGTCCCCAGAGCTGCACCCGCTGTACCACTACAAAACCTATGTGGGTGGCATCCTCCTGCTCACCAAGCAGCACTACGAGATGGTACGTCCCTGGCAGCCTGAGCGAGGATCCGTGTTCTCCTCCCCGAAAGGCGAGACATGATGGGAAGGGAGCTATTGCGGGGAGGGATTGTGTCAGGAATGGGGCTTGTGAGCTGAGCTGCTTGGGATCTTGTGCTCTGCCTTTGGCCCCAGGCTCTTCCCCTGTGCATCAGATGCTGAGGCAGGGGGACAGTATTCCTGCTCGTTTTTTATGTCCATAGGCTACGAGCGCCAGTATGGAGATGATGTGCTGCACGTGGATGGATTATGGCGGGGCTGGGACCGAGGGGTGCAGGCTCGGTGATGGGAATGAGGGGTTTGGGCTGCGGGGGGTGAAGGCTGTGGCTGGGGATGTGGGATAGGGTTGGGGGTGACAGGGTTGGGTACAGGCTCCCCTAGGAGAGAGGGCTCCCCCCCATTCCAATCTTACTGCAGCAGCTCCAGGACAGGTGAGAAGCACTTCTCTGCCAGATGTGGCAGCTCCCTTGAGGCTGGATTGGGCTGGGGGAAGGCTGCCTCCCTCCTGGCTACAGCAGGGCCGTGCTGCTGGGGACAGTGGGGGAAGACCTCAGAGAAGGTGCCTCTCCCCCAGCCATGGCAGCTCCTTGCTGTCCCAGCTGCAGCAGGAGAGACACGCTGCTCCGGCCCCAGCCGGGGGAGAACGCTCTCTTCCCTGGCGGTGGCAGCCCTGAGCTCCTGTGTGGGGCTAGTCATCTGCATGGCTGCCCAGCTTAGAGGGAACCTTAGGGGGACAAGCACGTCTACCCCCGTGACACCCTCTCCTTCCAGTGCAATGGCATGTCCAACCGCTTCTGGGGCTGGGGGCGAGAGGATGATGAGTTCTATCGACGCATCAAAGGGGCTGGACTACAGGTAGGGATGCTCTCCTGTCGCCCTTTCCCTGGGCCCAGCCACCCGGATCTCAGCAAGCACCTGGGAGAGGAGGCTCCCTGCTGGTCCCTGTGTCCCGCTTCCCAAAGGGGAGGGGGTGATGGGGTGCAGGAAGCCCTCGGACCTGGGCATTTGGTGTAGGCAGACTCTCTGCTGCCTGATGCAGGCTCCACTTTCTCCCCAGCTTTTCCGCCCTTCTGGAATAAAGACCGGCTACAAGACCTTCCAGCACCTTCACGACCCCGCCTGGAGGAAACGTGACCAGAAGCGCATTGCTACCCAGAAACAGGTCTGAGCTGCTCCCGAGGGCAGGGTGGGGCAGGGGCCTGCTCCCCTTGGCCCTGGAGGGGCAGCAGAGAAGCAGAGTCTCTCTCTGAGCTGGCTGGGTCTGTTTCTCTGCCGCTGTGCCAGCTGGCTGCCCACGGTGGGAGCTCACTGCCACCTTCTCTCCTGCAGGAGCAGTTCAAGGTGGATCGGGACGGTGGCCTGAGCAATGTGCGGTATCAAGTCGAGTCCCACACGTCGCTGACTGTGGCTGGAGCTCCCTGCACGGTCCTCAATGTCCTGCTGGACTGTGATACCAGCGAGACCCCCTGGTGCACATTCAGCTGAGCAGCCTGCCCTGGCCACACTCAACGCCTGCCGTGCCAAGGTGCCATGAGGCTGCAGCACGAGGGCTGGGCCGTGGGCAGGACAGGTGGAAGGAGGCTGAGAGGCAGGCCAGCTCCTCGCTCGGTGCAGCTTGGAGGGCAGAACTCGCTGGCCCCCGCACAGATGCTGGCATCACCGCAGGACGGCCGCTGCCTCCTTGCATAGAGCCGCCGCCGGGCTCCAAGAGGACAATAAAGCACCGTCAGGCCCATGCGAGGCCAGTGCCCTTAGCCGTGCCCTGGTCTCCATGCAGTGCCCGTCCGCAGCCGAGGGCAGGCATCACCCCCCTCTGCTCTGTGTCAGAGGGGAAGCAGGGCTGGGAGATCCCCCGCTCCCTGGCAGGGCCACTGGGACTGCGGCGCTCAGGGCAGGGGGCCAGGCATGGAGGCTCATGAGAGGAGTGGGGCCCTGGGGCTGGCTGGCACCGCTCCCTGAACCTGTAGCTGCCAGGTCTCCTGCCCACTTCCTTTCTGTGGAGTAAGGTCTGGTTTCACAGTCTGCATTCTCCGAGGGCACCAGTAGCGTCATGCCCAGCCGTCTCCATGGGGTGCCCCCCACTGCCCTGCTCTCTCCCCACTCTGCGCAGGAAACCCCATACAGTCTGCCCCTGGAGAGGAATGGCTGCTAATCACCTGGCTGCAGGAATCCAGCCCAGGGCTCCTCTGCAGACACAGGGCTTCCTGTACCTCCAGCTGAGCCTGCCGGCCGCAGGGAGCAGCAGGTCTAGCCGTGGTTCTGGTGAAAGAGGGCCAGGACCTGGCCCCTGCCTGTTCTGGGGGTGCAGTGTAATTCAGCTTCCGCTGGTCGGGGGCTTCTCCACCACTGGTAAATCCCGAGGAGACACTTTTCTAACTGCTCCGCTCCAGGAAGGGGCAGGCCCTGTATGGCTGGAGGTGGGACACATGAGCATGGTGGCCCTGCTGGGTTTGGGATCTGAGAACTGGCCCTTCTGCCTGCAGCGAGGCTTGCCAGACCCTGCAGCTGTGGCATCCCCGGGGTCTGCTGTCTGCAGTGCTCAGCTAGTGACCAGCTGCCAGGGGCTCTGTGCTGCCAAAGGTCTACCCTCCCCCCAGCCTGTTTCCCTTGTGGTGGGAGGGGGAGAGGAAGCAAAGGCAGCTCTGTGAGCCCTCACAAGGGTGTGTCTGCCTCCCGTAGCCCTCAGGCTGGGCCTGGCAGTGGTGAATGCAGCAGCAGCCTTGCCTGCCTGTGGGGCTGGCTCTGCTTTGGTGGAAAGGGCCATGGGCTCGTAGGGGGGCTGGGACTACAAGGCTCCCCCAAGCAAGGCTGGCCCTGGTTCCTCCCTGGAGCAGGGAGCGGAGCAGCCCCCAAACTGGAGGGGGTGGGGTGGGATGATGGGGCTGGCCTGGCTGCCTTGGACAGAGGAAGGTCTCTGGCCTGGGGAGGGAGTGAAGGGCTCAGGCTCAGCTCTAGCACTTGCTGGGTAAAAGGTCTCCAAGCTCCTCGGCAGTGCCAGGGGCTGGAGCGACTGGCTGGGGGCTAACCCGTGCGCCGTGGAATCACCAGCCATGCCAGCGGCTCCTGCTCCACACTGTGAATTTGTAAAGCACCCAGGAGGGGAGCTGCAGCGCCCGGGTCAGGGCTTGCGCCTCAAGCTGGCACCTCTGGGTGCAGCTGTGCCCAGAGCTTGCCACAGCACCACCCAGCCACTGAGTGCTGGTTGGGTGGGGAAGGCGCATCCTGAAGGGATGTAGGGCATGTGCCTCTTGTGGGCAGCTGCCACCCTTCTGTGACCCACGGCGGGGCGGGCAAGAGGCCTGAGGCAGCCAGGGACTCGGTGTTCCCCTTCTGGGGCTGGGATTTCTTGGGGGACTGCAGGACGGCCCAGGGCCCAGACTGGCTGGGAGAGAGAGCTGGGTGTTGGGCTGCGGCAGACAGCGCTTCGTAGCCGATCTGGGAGAGGAAGGCCCGTAGCTGCAGCTCTTGGCAGGGCAGAGCGCCGTGCCTGCTGGAGGGGAGAGAGCAGCGTTATGCGGGACGTGGCTGGGAGGAGGGGATGGAGAGGTGCTGTGTTTTGGAGTTGCACCAGGAATGCAGCACTCCTTTTCCTGTGGTGGTGTTCTGTGCCCATCCCTGCGGAATCTGGGCACCATGTTCCCTGAGCCCCCCGTGAGTGGAGGCAGCGGTACCTGTGAGTTGGGGGCACTGCAGAGCGATTCACAGGGCTGGGTGTCCATCGTTGCATGGCAAGGGGGGGATGCAGGATAAATCTGAGCCCCTGGGGGAAGAGGGACTAGCTGGATGCCTGCAGCTGTGGCAAGGAACGAGGGGTGGTGCCGAGCAAGGGAAGCTGTCCAGCAATCCAGGAGTGTAGCCATGGAGGGGTGACTCAGGGTAGGAACCTGCCTGGTGCTGCTACATGTGGGGAGGGGAGACCCTCTGGGGCCTCCCCTTGCCAATGGGGGTCTCATTCATGTAGGCGTCAGGCTCTCGACATGGCTAAACCCCCATCTCGGGGCTTACTGAGCCGGCTGGGGGTGAAAGCCCCTTTCCCTTCCCGCCCCAGGAACTAGGCTCAGCCCTTGTCCCCTCCTTGCCAGTGGAGCTACTCACGCCCAGTGTGGCCCCCGGCCATGAGTGCTGGCGGATCCCGTTCAACAGGCATGGTGGCAGAGGAAGAGTCCTGGTCGTTGCTCTGGCCAGAGCGAATGCACATGGGCAGCAGAGTGAGATGCTGCGAGCTCTGCCTCCCTAGGCCTGTCAATGCTCTAAACTGTGGCCCCATGCCACTAGCCAGGGGCTGTGTGCAGTCCTGGCTAGCTGGCCCTAGCCCCTCTCATCTCCTGACTCCATGAGGTCAGTGCTACAGTCCAGCTGGATTTTGCCCACCTC